ATTCTCAAGGCTACCATAGAGCAATTGCAATTGCATAAATACAGACTGGATTAACACTGGTTTTTTTTTAAATCCATTAAATTATATAAAATGGAATTGGACTACTGCAAGCTGCCTCTAAAGCAAGCAAGCATGTAATCACGTACTTACCATTAGTTACCAAGACCCCATCAAAAACAACAATCTGGTGCTGAGTCTAATAGTGGTCTTTTGAAGCCATTTCCTCCTTCATAGCTCATTCATTAGTCAGCCTCCAATGGTTATTAGCAGTGCTTTTTTTGTAAAAAAAAAAAAAAAAGTTGCCGGAACTCACACATGTCATACAACCCGCCTTGCCTACCCTACAAGGTTCCATCCAAAAAAGGTGCCGGAACTCCGTTCTGGGCATTCTATGACAAAAAAAAGCCCTGGTTATTAGAGACGGAATATCTTCACTGCCGCACCATACTCCTGAAATTCTTCAAAACTCCATCTACCCAACTAAACCAACAGCAGCAGGCACATGACTGGGGTCCTCCACTGAATTTGGCCCGAGGGGAGAATTCAAAAGATAACATCCAAGTGCTAGCTAGAGCAAGAGATCTTCCAATCAGAGCCATTAAAACAGAAAGAACACCTGAGCTGCTTCTGCCAAGAACAACACATTTCGCTTCATACTTGTAACAAAACAGACCCGTTTTGATCTGTCTCTTAAACAGAACTTCTACGGCATCCATGTTTGGGCATGAAATTCTCCAAAATAGGGATTCCATGTACAGAAAGATTTATGGGAAGGAATACTTTGTACATCCTTAATAAATTATATTATAAATTATATTGCAGTAGGCAATAGCATTTGACAATTCACCGCAAATATATATTTCGACAGATTTTTTAAAATATATCATTGTGTTTTAGCATCACTCTAACCGTCTTTTACACCTATTAATAGATAAGGCCATTGTTGTGTTCTCAACTTTCGAAAACGAGAAGAGCCTGTAGAACTATCTAGTACTGAATGGGAATGTGAAATAATTGAAAATGAAGGACTGTATAGGTAGCTGGTTGAATAAATGCTGGCACATGAGCAATGAAATGGGGAAGGCTAGAAATACGTGAACAGAAAATCCTTAACACGTTTTTCTAAAGCAGCCACATGTTTGAAAACAATGGTTGCTTTCAGTTTCTTCTATTCTAAAACAGAGCAGCTCCCACTGTTTTCCTGATTACATAAAGCAAAAATAATTTGCTGTTTGCCACTATGAGTGCCAAATCAGTAAAATAAATTAAATTAAATCAAATCAGGAAATTAAATTTTCAGAAATACTGGCTTCAGTATAGTTATGCTAAACGAACGGTGCTGATAGGGGTCAATAACATGAAACAAAACTACCCTTAGAGAGTAGTATTTTGTGTGCTTTCTTTGCTTTATTCTTTCTTGTCACTCAAAAATGGGGTTTTTTTTTTGCAGCTATCTCTGCTTTATAAGTAGGAAGAGCCACTTAACTGTAGCTGGTACAATGTTTTAAGAAATCACATCTGTTCTAAATAAAACAGAAAAAAAGGATATGGATATAGATACACAGACAGACAGACAGACAGACAGAGGGACAGACAGACAGACAGACAGATACACGAACCAAAGAGATATTAGGATATGACTTTTCATTAATATTGAAGCTAGCAGCTTCACTGTTCTGTAATATAGTAACGTTTTTCTTGCCAATATACAGAAGTGAAATTATAACTTATATTTTTTGGCTGTGCGTATTATAGAAGGGGCGGGGGAGAAAACCATAGGGAAGGATGCCATCAGTTACTCCATTTGAGAAAGTGACACATCTTGCTGTAATCTGCAGCCCCCCCCCCCTTTCCTACTATCTCAGTATCATGCATTTGAATGACACTCAGGTTGTGAATATCAGAATTGTTGTTATAGCAGAAGTGAGACCATCCTAACAGGGTTAGACTGTTATCAGCGGCAAGAGTTCTGGCAGGGATATACAAAGAACTGTAAACTAAATCATATGTCCCCACAGATTGCTGTGCTGCAATTCATAATAGCTAAGCAATCACAGCAGTTGCCTGGTCATTGTGTTTCTTACTGAAGTTAAAAGGACAAACTCTTTCCTGTTTACACATTACAATCATTTTCACTGCAACCTGACCTCTCCAAGTTATGGAAACATACTGCCTCATATATTATGACTGCTAATTATAGCTTATTCAGATTTTAAGCTACTTAAGCATTCCTCTATATGAAAAGCTAGGGCAAAATATCTTAAACAGAACCTAATGGCTGCTTATTAGAACAGCCCATTAACTCATTGTGAAATCACTGGAGGTCCTCATATAGTCAAACCAGCAGTGTCATTGCACAAAAAGCAGGTATGAACAAGCTCAGGTTTCCAAATTCACGAGGGGAAAAAAAAGTCTTTTTGTAAAGAGGAAATGAAGCTCAGGGAAGAAACCATTCAAAAATGTCCACTGAGAATCAAATGTGCATAATACAATACAGCATGTTGGTTGATTCTTAAAAGGGGAAGAGTGAAGGGAACCTAGAAACTGAATGGAATATTTAGAAAAGAATATGGTTCATTGACGGCACCCTAAACAGGATCAATCTGAGCTGCAGCATTTCATGGCAAGCCCATTTATTTGAAAATATTAAGAATAAATCAATTAAATGTAACATTGTTGTTCAGAAGAATGCAATCCTGTAATTCTGAATGCTGAGACCTTCCACAATATAGTGATTGTGTGATATAGAAAGCTGGATTAAATGGACCAGCTGAGCTCTTTATTCAATTTACCTTTGATAAATGTGCAATTCACAGTGACAAGGAAGCAGTTTCAAATGTCACCATGTTCTTGTGCTGAAAATTATTTGATTATATTTTCTCAGGCTAGTTTATACTTACTAGTAGTAGCTGCCTTAGCGTGGAACAGATCGAGTTAGGTTGACAGAGATTGGATTTATGTAACATTATGAATTACCTATGATTTGCTAAAAAATTGCAGTTGGTTGGGCTTATATGCCAGCTAGGCCATACAAATCATGGTTTACTAATTACAACCATTGGGTTGCACAACATGCTAAAATAAAACAGGCCAATTTATGCCTTAATAAAATGAAATTGCTTTTACAGTAATTAATGTATTATGGTGAAAACAAAAGGAATATTTTTTTCAAGTATTATGAAGGTTCAAAAAAAGAGCAGAGAGCATCCTAATAACGACAGGATTTACTTAAATTCGCAAAAATATATGTTTACAATCTATATTTTTACTGTTAACTAGAAAGTTAACAAAACTGAATAAGCATGCTCTTATGATTTATTACATGAACTTTTTTGCTTTACATTTCACAGAAATAATCATCTCTGTAACCTTTATGACAGGAAGGAAGGAAGGAAGGAAGGAAGGAAGGAAGGAAGGAAGGAAGGAAGGAAGGAAGGAAGGAAGGAAGGAAGGAAGGAGATTCTGTTGTTGAAATGTTTATCATGGTGTCACAATGCAAACTCAAGTTCATAAATGCATTGTGATACTGCATGCAGGTACATAAGATACATTGCAATTCTATGATACATGCTTTATTGCTTTCCTCCAGAGAAGACAAGGGCAAACCACATTCATATTGTGGCCAAATCACCATAGTTGAACTACATGTCCATATAGTCTCCAGAAGCCAACCACAATTCAAATAAGTTTTAGTTTTACTCTGTGTTGTTATATTATTTAATAATTTTATAACCTGCTTCAAACCGAGGGATAAAAAAGACAATTGAATAAATAGAAGAAAAGGAAGGTTTACAAAAGTTTCAAGTAGCATTCACAAATTGCCATGGCTTTTTTTCTCATAGAACGCCCAGAACGGAGTTCTGGCACCTTTTTTGGATGGAACTTTGTAGGGTAGGCAAGGCGGGTTGTATGACGTGTGTGAGTTACGGCACCTTTTTTTTTTTTTTTTTTAGAAAAAAAGCACTGCAAATTGCACATACTCTGTAAGCATCAATACTCAATCAAAGAGATATTACTAATTAATGGCACAAGTTCAGATTCATTGATAAAAGATTCAGTTAAGTTTTACAATTCAATTGTTAATACTGTTACTAATTAGCAATCATTGCTGACTTCCTGTTTTCTTCCACACTCTGCCTAGTGGATGGTGGGATATACTTCAATGTATGCTACCGTGGGAAGTCAGCTCCCCACAGAGAAATAAATATTTATGGGAATATTAAGAGGCAGAAGGATCTTAAAGGCAGAAACCCCTCTCAAGTCTCTCTGCCCCAAACAGAAACCAGGTCTGCAGAAATGCAGATGTGATAATCTTGTCAGAAAGATTGGAGCCAGGAAGCTTGGATTAGAAAGACAAAGATCTCTAGAACCAACAATCCCTCACACCAAAAAATCCAACACAGGACAAAGCCATCAGCCACACCCCCAGGGAAGCAGGATATGACCTTTGGGACATAATAGGATTAACCCACCACCATCAGAATACTAGAAAGGTACATTCAGACTCAGGTCGAAGTTCATGCCACAGGAACGACTCCAAACAAGAGCCCAAGAAGGTATAAAAACCCACCACTCCCTACTACAGAGGTCTCCAACCTTTTGGGCACCAGGGACCAGTAACATGGAGAGAGGTTTTTTCACGGACCAGAGAGGGTGTGGTTTTGTGTGCTGCCTGCATCCCATAGATGGGGCTTTGCTTGTTTCTGCAGCTCGGTTGCTGGCATGCCATGGCCCAGTACCAGTCCATGGCTCAGGGGTTGGGGACCCCTGCCTTACTACATGTGGTCATCTTTCCCAGAGCCATCTTTCTGTCTGGCTCTGCTCTTTAATAAACCACAACCTTCTTTCTAAAGTAGTCTCCATTTTGATTATTCCCAGCTTGGACTGGACCCTGATGAAGATTTTTCTTTCAACACTACTATACGCTAGATCTCATGGAACATTTTTTCATGAACAGCTAGAATTGCATATAACATCCATCATGATTGATAGATTCTTACCTTTAAAAGGATGTTAGCAGACTGTAATTTCTTTGCTTCAGTAATTGCATAGAGTTCTTCATAATCAACAGGTTTGTACTTTGAACTTTTAAGCCCATTTTTCACACGAACAACCAAATTGTCTAGTAGAGGCATAAAACAATTCAGATTGTTGAATAAAATTAAACATTACATTATAAGAAATTTAGAACATTTGAAGCAAACAAAAATAAAAATGATAGTTTAAAAAGTGTGACATTAGGAGGAAAATTTATATTGTCTATACAGTTTGTTTTTCTAAACAAAGTTGTAGTCCATGAAAATGATTGTTACAAATACAAAATAAAAGGAAGTACTCTTTAAGGTAGGAAAATGTGCAGAAGACAACCTACACAACCAAAACATTTAAATTTTAATTTTATTGCTTAAATCACTTACTTATTACTTAAACTTACATACACTTAAACTTCATAAAGATACCCAGTTGAAACTGGGGGAAAAGACAATAACAATTTGTCTTAGATCAGCAATAGGCAGTTGTTCATAGACTACATGCAGCTGTCTTGTCCCAGTTTTGTGACACTCCCCCAAGATCTGAGGACGATAGCACTACAATTACTCAGTTTTGATGTTATACTAGGTATAAATATAGTATATAGATATAGATATGAATATGAATATAGATATCTAGTATCCAAACATTTTGAAGTTCTACGTTGAATAAACCAAAACTGTAAAATATCTAACCTAAGGAGAGGCATTTTTGTTTTGCTTCACCTCAGTTGTATTTCTGTTTCACTTCTAGGCCCCCTATTTTAAAATAAATAACCAACCCTTACCTGTAAGAAATGTTGTATAACCCTGATTTAGATTATTAATATTTGGTTCTGCCTAAGCACGTTATGTGAATAAGGTAAAAAAGTTGGATCCAGATTTATTCATACTTAATCTAAATGCACTGACACTCATCCCACTGCTTTAAATAGATTTGTGTTAAGCATTACAAAAATTCAATCCAATCAATAGTAGAACACATGCCTTAAAGAAACCCATCATACTAAAATACATTGGAAAGCATCTAATAGAAATGAAGTAGCCTACAGATAATCAGTCTTGCAAATTGGTTCTGACTAGCTCAAAGAAAATTAACTTATACCAACATATCTACTTAAGGATGTATTGCCATGAATTCTCATAAATATAATTCATGATGTTTCAGAATCTTTTTTCCAGTTTGATAATGTCAATAGTATACATCTTGATATTCTGGCAAAACCCATTATTTTAGCAATCTCAGCCTTTATTTTAAGGCAGTAAATTGCCAAACATGCTAATAGACATTAGCAAACATATGTCCTTATACTCATTTTTATATACTATCCAGTCTGCATCAGCAAACAATTTATTTAAGGCTGAGTGTAATTCTTATCACATTGCTTGGAAATCAGCTCCATTGGGCACACTATTTTCCCTCCTGACTTTCTTCTTCCCTCATTTTTAAGCTATACAGAAGTACAATAAAAACATTAATGGTTCCAAGTCTTTTAGAGTACTAGATACAGCACTGAACTTTTATTACTAAAAATATTCTCCACCATAGAGCAAAAGAACTATTGGCAGTTTAGAATGCATCTGCATAAAATGCAATCAACTCAGTAGGTCAAACTTTACAAAAGATAAAACTCTACATACAGGTAATCCTTGACTTACTGTCACAATTCAGCTCAAAGCTCCCATTGCTAAACAAGACGGTTATTAACTGAATCACTGCACTTGTTATGTTAGTAACACATTGTTAAGTGAATTTGGCTTCCCACTGACTTTGCCTGTGAGAAGGTCACAAAAGGTGACGACCCCAGGACACCACAACTGTAATAAATACATGCCAGTTGCCAAGTGCCCGAATTTTGACCACATTACCATGGGGATGTTGCAACATTCCTGTGAAAAACAGTCATAATTCACTTTTTTCAGTGTCATTGTAACTTCAAATGGCCACTAAATGAATGGTTGTTAAATCAAGGACTACCTGTAATCTATGAGTAACCAAAATAATTAATCACATTGTAAGGAAAGCTAAAATACAGACATTGAAAAGAGAGCAATCACATTTTTTTTAAAGAAAAATTACCTATATTGCTATTTCTTTGAGTTGTAATAAATCCTTGAAGATCTCTTTCACTCATCTTATACTGTTGAAAAATAAACATATTACTTGTCAAAAAGTGACACCTTTGAATGTATTCACTTGATTTTTTTTTTGTAAGCGGATTTATTTATACAGGAGTTCCTTACTGATGTGAAATCTATTCCAAGGACAGTTATTTTAGTTGTCTAGAGTACATACATTTTATTTTATTTTTCTAATGGATAAAGTTTACTAAAAGTTCAGCCAAATGTGATGCTAAACTTCTGTAATAAAGGCTGTTGACTTTACAAAATAATAAAATGATTTTATTAATATTTACTTGCCCCAAATTCTCACTGAATCCAATAAGGCTTTCAACCAAATACACATACCTAAGATCACAGCTTTAGCAATGAAGAATTCAACCATTTGAGAATAAAAATCACGAACCTTATATAAAATTTACAATGATATAAAAATCCAAAGATTAAATAAAAGCTATAAAGATACACAGAGACGGGGAAAAAATACAAAACTGACTCTTCTCATGTTCCATATTTAACACTGCACTCTTATATATGGATTCCTTTCTATTAGTGAATTTAATCACCCAATAACCTTACAAATCTTCAAAGGATTTCTTACTCTCCTCAATACCCCCATTTACAAGTATAAGACCATACACCCAAAGCTGCACTCTTATATAAGAGACTGAGATTAATAACTTCTTGAAGACTCATTCAAGATGACTCAAAACTACTGGAATTTCAATACATGAATGATTAAAATGTTACATTAATAAGAAGTAAGCAAGTAACATGTATATTGACTGATGTCCAGAAAAAATAGGTCCCATAATTTTTTAATAGCCTACAACGTGAGTATCCAACTTTTTGGCTTACCTGGGCTGCATTGAGTGAAGAGGAATTGTTTTGAGCCGCATATAAAATATATAATATAGTTGTATAACATAAAATCATATATTAATGTTAAAAGTGAACAGTCATGTGGATCAGCTGTCCAAGACCGCATATGCTCCTTGGGATGTGGATTGGACACACCTGGCTGAGAGTTTTATTTTACCTAAGTATATTCCTCCTCTTATACTTCATTCTGTACAATGGTGTGTATATCATGGAGCAGTGATGGCGAACCTTTTAGAGACGGAGTGCCCCAAACAGGCCCCGCCCCCACCCTGTCTGCTCCACCCCCTCACCCCCAGCCCATCCTGTTCCGGTCCCTGCCCCGCCTGCCCACAGGGCCACCCACCATCTTCACAGCCCGCCACAGATTGCCCAGGCGGCCAGCAACACCATGGCAGCCACGCCCTCTGCCTGCGCCCTGCAGAATCAACTGTGCACAATGGGGCACGAGGGCGGAGTCTTCTCCCCGCTGCCAGGCTGCCATGTTCTTGGCTGTGCTGCTCCACGTGTGCCACGCTTGGGGGCGACTCTCCTTTAGGGGGCTGCTGGTGAGGTGGGGGCTGCAGGTGGGAGGCAGGGCTGGGGCGATGGCGCGCATGCCCACAGAAAGGGCTCTGAGTGTCGCCTCTGGCACGCGTGCCATAGATTCGCCACCACTGTCATGGAGCAACCTATTCAAATATTTTTATTTAAGACTAGCTGTACCCGGCCACGCGTTGCTGTGGCTCAGTCTGGTTAAATGGAAAAGAAAGAAAAGAGAAAGCGCATGTTTGTAATATGTTTAATTTCACAATGCTAGCGTGTGTTGCTTTTATGTTCAACAGATGGCGCTGTTTTTCAAAAAAAGCATGTTTTTACCTGTCACAGGTGTGACATCTATACATCTATATAATAGTAGGTACATAAAAACATGCGCGTATTCAAATGCAACATTGTGTCAAAATTTCAAAGCAATCGGTGAAGAACTTTCGGAGATTTAAGATTTTGAACAAACGAACATTTACATTGTCAATGTTGTGACAACAGAACAAATTGTAGCCATCTTACTTTTGTTGTTCATTGTAACTTTCCACTTTATAGTTGAGGTTTTCCTCGTAGACAGACAAAGGGGGGAGGGGGAGGTATGAGTATTCTTAATTAGTTATAACAATTGCAGCTCGGGGTATAATCAAGGTCAATGTGAGTGAAGAATTTTGGCAGTAAAAGGATGGGGGAGAAAAGCCCGTGTTTATTTGTAATTGGATAATGTGATGTGTGACAGCTTGGTTTGGGGTGGGAATTGCAACTTGTAACTTTGTATCAGGGGAGGGAACTTTCAGTTCTGGGTTCAACTATGTAAGTGCCAATATTTTGTTTCCAAATAAAATGTTCTTTAAGGATGAATTTCTTGCCTTGAAGTTCTTTTGACTGGTTTCATCTAACGGAACCATGACATATTGTTTGTAATTATGATGGTATGAAAAAGTAACTTTATAACCAGTCCTTCACATCCTTCACAGGTCTGTGAAGCAATGTAAAGCTGTAGTAAGATCATAAGCACAATCACGGTTTTACTTAGCAACCACATTGCTTAACAACCAAGTTGCCAGTCATCCTGAAAGATAATACAAGGAAAGCTAAGTAGAGATATCAATGTCCATTCCAAAGAGTTTTTGGGGGGATTTTATTGTGGAGTTATTTTGAAAAGATATTGGTGTTGGGAGATGCAACAAATTTAGCAGAGGGTTTGGTATTTGTGTAGGAGATGACCAGGCCGAGCCTGAGGGCAGGTCAAATGCATCATCAGTCTAAAGTCCCTATGCCTTCGAAAGAGACCTAAGTCAAGCCCCCCTTGAAGTCCATTGATTGTTATTTGGCGGCAATTTGCATTGACTGTTAGTAGATCATATTCTTGAGTATAAGTAGCAGGGAATACTCGCAGTGCTTTTGAACTCTATCCTGGCTCCTGGTTTCTTGCACCTGACAATTCCTTGGGGATCAGTTCTCTCCCCCATGCTATTTTCACATAAAAATGAGTTAGTTAGAATTTTGTTAGTGTCTTATCCAAATAAACTATAATCAATATACAGTGACATGAAGCTAGGCTTTCCTAGACCTTTTCTAACTTGGCAAACCTATCCTTATGAAGCAGAAAGTTCCACCAGCTGCAGAGCCTTCCGACTATATGATAATAGTGTAAAGAAGCAAGTTGAATTTCTCCCTCTCTCCCAACCTCTTTAAATGCTTTTACTCCCATTGCATTGGGAAGAAAATGATTTGCATTAGCTGTTCAGCTGACATTAATAATGCGCTAGCATGTTATTAGAGGACATATGTTAGCATGGCAATGTCATTCCAAGCATATATTCTTGCACATACTTGACATACCACAATGTTTGACACATCTCAGCCCATTCAGAAATAATCACCCTCAGAATTAGGATGTGGGAAGAGGGGTTTTTTTTTAATTCTGGATAAAAAAAGAGGCCTGATTCTACCATGTTTGTAGGATATGCTTATAGCTTTCATGGGATTATATAAATAAATAAGCCCTCCCCCCTTAAGTCTGATTAAACAGATCGGGTACATTCTACAACTGTCATGTAGAGAATTGCAAAACATTACACATTTTGAAAAATTTGAATGCATGCACTTCATGAAAAGTTATCATTACTGTATAAGCCCACCAAACAAATAAATTACTCTATACGGATTAGCTTGTTTTTATAACTCCCGTCATTTGTTAGCCAAAAGGAATATCTGATTATATCAATTTAAAAAGAACTTCAGTGAAAACAACAACTATTTTGTGTGCTATTTTCCAGGGAGCCTATGCTATCATCTTTACTAAGCAAAAAGTT